TACCTATAACGCCGATCTATACCTAGCAAACTATATTTCTGCCCATAATACCTACCCAATGATCTATATAAATAGCTATGTAACAAAATAACTCTTTATCTATATAACTACCGACTACCCACCTACCTGCCCACCTCACCTCGCTGCCAGAGTTCTGGCCGTGCGTGTGTTTGTGTCACCAGATTTGTAGAACTTTATTTGCACTGGGCACGAGTTTTGGGAGATGCGTTTTTACTTCCCGGAGCATCGTATCATTCAGAGAATACGGAATTCACCCGCACGCCCCCCGCCACCCCCCACCCCCCAATTTGTGTAAGAGTTCAACGGCACTATAATTACATTTAATTTATGCAACTACACTGCATTAACGCTGCGCCTGCTGTTCGCGCGCTGCTGCGTATTTAAATGTTTCATCGTCAGCATAACCGCCAGCGCGCGTGTCACCTTGCTGGGGAGAGGAGAAACACGTGGACTCAGAAATAACAGATTTTTTTTTAAATCCAAAATGTTCTCAACCACATCGCGACAAGCCCGTGGGGCGTCACTTATCCACGTGCTCGCCATTTCCGGATACCCACAGATGGCTGGGCCACATACTTGGCAATCACTCGAGTCACTTTTCGATTTAAAGCTTTCGTGACTGCAGGGATTCATCTTCTTGGTTCTTCGGTAAAGTCACGTAGAAGGGAAATAATAAAATAATAAAAATAAAACATAATAAAATACAATTCTCACGACGTTTCGGCCACAACGCAAGCAGCCGTCCTCAGGTGGAGAACAGGTCTGTCGAGAAGACAGAGTCTGAATGACACACTCCAGGCTTGGAGCGACTATTTAAATAGTCTACTTAAATAGACTATTTAAAAAGTCGCTCCAAGCCAAATAGTCTATTTAAATAGACAATTTAAATAGTCGCTCCAAGCCTGGAGTGTGTCATTCAGACTCTGTTTTCTCGACAGACCTGTTCTCCACCTGAAAACGGCTGCTTGCGTTGTGGCCGAAACGTCGTGATAATTATTTTATTATGTTTTATTCTTATTATTTTATTATTTCCCTTCTACGTGACTTTACCGAAAGAACAAAGAAGACACTCGAGTCACGTTTATTTCACGCCAGCTCTCTACCGGTTTCTTCTACTTTACACTAAGACCCGATCACCATAATTGCCGCGGCTGATCTGACAAGAGCTCAGAAGCTCAGCAGGATTTTGTTTTAAGCCTGCGTGTAATTAGCGCTTGGGCGCGAGGAGACTGCCCGGGACAAACCAGGTGTCGGAACCCCTCGGGCTATCGGCTGGCCAGGTGATGTCTGGACGCGCGCCACCCGACACTCCACGGCGCTGCCTGGAAACCGGATTAGGGGTGGAATCCCACGCCCCACGCTCCCCCCTACCCCCCCGGCCAACTGGGAGACACCACGCGGCCTTTCCGCCTTCGTGAGTGGCCTCTTCCCATTAATCGCCTTCTGCACGGTTGGGTCTGTCAGCTCGCATATCTCTCGTCGATTGTTGACCCGGGGGGGAGGGAACGCTCGGGTTAGCCGGATAGAGACGGGGAGAGAGAAAACGATAATCTGTGTTGTTTTCTTTTTAAACAAACATCACTCTCAGAGAGAGAGAGAGAGAACCCGGGCCGTGTGTGCTCAGTGCCCGGTTATGGAGGAAGTGAATGGGGAAGCCGAGGTTTCTGATTGCTCTCCAATGGAGGCACTGAGTTTTAGAGTGGGCCGCCGTTAAGAGCAGTGATTGATTTATGGACTCTTAACGGGCGCTATTAGGACTTGTGGTGGGGGGAGGGGTGGAGGCGTTGGGGGAAAGGGGGGGCGTATTGGGTAGCTTCACTGCACGATGAAGCCAGCTCGCTCGATTACCGGCATCGGCTAACATCAGTGGTAAATTATATCTGATTAAGGGGTTCTGGGCACCTTCGTTCTTCACCAACCAGTGTGGTGATGTATGGTCAGATAACCTCTTCCCCCTCCGTCACCGATACGACGTGGGGAGGCCTTCATCCAGCAGTGGATTGACAAAACGAGCTGAACAGTATCGTGTTTTTTTGGTTTTTTTTACCAGGATGGAAATAGGGTCAATGTGATCGTGTTTGAAAGCAAGGCTAAAATACTCCGGGCAAATTGGGTTAATTTGCAAGCAACACGTAATTTTTAGACTTGCTGTGACAAGCACAAAATCTATTCCCAAAAGTGAACACTAAATTTAGTAAAAATCCTTTTCACATTTCATGCGCCTGCTACGTTCAACAACATCGCGTCTGCTTTTGTTCTGCAAGATTCCAAAGAACACAGGATGAGATGTTACTATCCTTTGTGCAAGCACTTCCAAGAGTTCATGAACAGTGAGCCTGGTGAAATTTGGGGAGCGCATCGTCAGTAGTGAACCTTTGGGTCCTAGGGTGTTTCGGCCTTTCATACTATACACCCTCCCCAAAGGCGGCCAGCGACAGGGTGATCAATCCTACGCTTGCGTCCCATTCCCAATTAGTCATAGGAGTTGCCTTGTTGTTGATAGCCAACATCCCATGGGACTATGCATGGCAGGGGCGTCCTCGTCCCTGAGTCAAGCATTGTTGACTGCATGCCTCCTGGCCCTCTCACTTTGGGGCCCAGCTGGGGGTCCTTTCCTCTTCATCCAGAGCCACTGACTGCTGCCTTCTGCCGCCTCCGATACAGCTCTGATTGCCGAACGCTGGCTCTGGCCCTTAATTCCCAGGTCTCTAAGCAGTCTGGTTGTAGATGTTGCCACAAAACCTCTGCAGCCCACCTCCACTGGTCGGACTTCTGTGTTCCAGCCATGATGCCGTGCTTCGGCAGCTAGATCGGCATAGCGCAGATGTTTTCGCTCATAAGCCTCATCTACTGAGTCCTCCCAGGGTACGGTGAGCTCTTCTACGTCAGCTCAAGCCTTCATGCGAATCAGGTGATTTCTGTGAAGTGGCCACTCGCCCCGCCCACTGCAAGAACAGACGCCACTCCGTGCAGAAGCAGCATCGTCAGGGTCCTGAGGCAGCCTCTCCCTCCTCCTTCTCCTCGTCTCCCCTGTCTTCTCTCTTCCCTCTCTGCTATTGGCGTCACGTCGCTCTCACAAAGCGAGAATTGCACCACGCTGTGTGATAGAGAGCGGATCGCGAAAGCCGATATCACAGAAATACTTCTGGGTGTCCCTCTATAAGTGGTAACCTTCATCACACTCGGGCGTGTGCCATCTCTCCACCCAACCTGCTCCAGACGAACGTTCATCGCGTGATTGACCCAACCGATATTTTACATTTTAGAGCGTGAACTTTACGAAATTAAGTCGAAAATCAAATAAACGGAATGCCCCCTCGTGCATTCATTAGCAGGATAAATAACGAATCTTCCAAAATGGAATTGTTTAATAGCCGGGTGTGAATCTGACGTCGAGGCAGAGTTGATGGATCACACAGATTTGGTGCTCAAGGAGGCACTCACCTTGCGTGACAGAGTGGTGTTGCTCATACGAGGGAGTGCAGCAAGTAGGTTAGGTCAGGCTGACTATCTGTGCAGCACAGTGTGTTGTATCCTTCTTTTATGCGTGGGTATGCTCCGTGTATCCAGGTTCCCCCCTAAAAGGGGCTGTAGTAAGCACACTTGAAAATTATCTTGAGATTCGGTGAGGTTTTCTTGAGCGAATACATACAAATGATTGAAACCGAACAATTTCCATATCTGTGCTGGGTGAGAAATGATGATATTACTATTTGTTCGTATAATTTGTCAAACACACAAGGGGCTCATATTCTTGGTTCTTTCGGTAAAGTCACGTAGAAGGGAAATAATAAAATACTATAAATATAAAAAAGTATATTGTTTTTATTGTTTTATATTTATATATAAAACTATTATTTAATTATTTCCCTTCTACGTGACTTTACCGAAAGAACCAAGAATATGAATCCCTGCAGTCACGAAAGCTTTAAATCAAAAATTAAAACACAAGGGGCTGTCCGTGGTGCTGAACACAAGGGACTGTCCGTGGTTCTTATCCCCAGTGAAATACACACGGAGCTGTCTGTGGTGCTGAACACAATGGGCTGTCCCGTGGTTCTTATCCCCAGTGAAATACACACGGCGCTGTCCGTGGTGCTGAACACAAGGGGCTGTCCGTGGTACTTAACTCAAATGAGACATCTTCTTGGTTCTTTCGGTAAAATCACGTAGAATGGAAATAAAAAAAAATATATAAAACATAATAAAATAATTCTCACGACGTTTCGGCCACAATGCAAGCAGCCGTCCCTCAGGTGGAGAACAGGTTTGTCGAGACGGAGTCTTCTCAACAGACCTGTTCTCCACCTGAGGACGGCTGCTTGCATTGTGGCCGAAACGTCGTGAGAATTTATTTTATTTTATTATTTCCCTTCTACGTGACTTTACCGAAAGAACCAAGAAGATGAATCCCTGAAGTCACGAAAGCTTTAATCGAAATCAAACGAGACACACAAGGTAATAAAAGCATGAGCAAAAGATTGAGAAAATTACAGGTGGTGCACCTTCACCTATCTTCTTCCTCAAACAAGAGACGGACAGTGATCCTCTGTATATCCTCTTAACAGACTGTTGGGGAAAGTATGAAGGCCTGCAGGGCATAGGAGGGAGTGGATGTTCAAATACGACGCCCGGTCGCCTTTGTATACCCCAGTGCTGATGTATACACGCTGCACCAGGTACTTATTTATGCCTGCATCGACTTAGGGGAGACCCAGGGCCGGTTAAAATATTCACCGCTGTTGTTGGGTCATGAGTGGGAATCAAAGTCGGATTTGCCGGGTTCGTAACCGCTGCTGGACCGCTCCCACCTCGCACATGTGCCGCACGTAGCCCCCCCCCCTCCCCTCCCCCCCTCACCGGCCGATCTCAATCTCTTCAAAAAATTATTCTCGCAGGTTCTACTGGGACCTCGTCATGCTGCTGCTGATGGTGGGGCAACCTCATCGTGATTCCCCGTGGGAATCACCTTCTTCAAGGAGGAGACCACGACGCCGTGGATCATCTTCAACGTCTTCTCGGACCATTCTTCCTCGTCGACCTCGTGCTCAACTTCCGCACGGGGCATCGTGGTCGAGGACAACACCGACATCATCCTGGACCCGCGCAAGATCAAGCGCACGTACCTGCGCACCTGGTTCCTGGTGGACCTGGTGTCCTCCATCCCCGTCGACTACATCTTCCTCATCGTGGAGAGCGGCATGGACTCGGACGTGTACAAGACGGCGCGCGCCCTGCGCATCGTGCGCTTCGCAAAGATCCTCAGCCTGCTGCGGCTGCTGCGTCTGTCCAGGCTCATTCGCTACATCCACCAGTGGGAGGAGGTGAGCTTCTTCATAAGAAGGTGCTGGTGGTGGGTGTTGGTGTTTTTAAATGTTATTTACATGTAATGCTTTGGGTATCCATGTAAGTCTATAAATCTGTGTATAAATATATGGGTCTTTTTCTTCATGGTTCTTTCGGTAAAGTCACGTAGAAGGGAAATAATAAAGTAATGAAAATAAAAACATAGTATTTTTGGATGTTTTATTTTATTATTTAATATTTTTAGAATGTTTTATTTGTATTATTTAATTATTTCCCTTCTACGTGACTTACCGAAAGAACCAAGAAGATGAATCCCTGCAGCCACGAAAGCTTTAAATCGAAATATGGGTCTATATGTAAGCCTATGAGTTTTCTGTATAAATCTATGGGTCTCTATGTAAGCCGAATTAGTCACCATGTAATCCCTATGGGTATCCATGTAACTATTTAAATCTGTGTATAAATATATGGGTCTCTATGTAAAGCCTATGAGTCTCTGTATAATCTATGGGTCTCTATGTAAGCCGATAAGTCACCATATAATCCTATGGGTATCCATGTAAGTCTTTAAATCTGTGTATAAATATATGGGTCTCTATTGTAAGCCTATGAGTTTCTGTATACATCTATGGGTCTCTATGTAAGCCGATTAGTCACCATGTAATCCTATGGGTATCCTTGCAAGTCTTTAAATATATGTATAAATATATGGGTCTTTATGTAAGCCTATGAGTCTCTGTATACATCTATGGGTCTGTATGTAAGCCTATGAGTTTCTGTATACATCTATGGGTCTCTATGTAAGCCGATTAGTCACCATGTAATCCTATGGTATCCTTGCAAGTCTTTAAATATATGTATAAATATATGGGTCTTTATGTAAGCCTATGAGTCTCTGTATACATCTATGGGTCTGTATGTAAGCCTATGAGTTTCTGTATACATCTATGGGTCTCTATGTAAGCCGATTAGTCCACCATGTATCATATGGGTATCCATGTAAGTCTATATAGTCTATGTATAAATATATGGGTCTTTATGTAAGCCTATGAGTCTCTGTATACATCTATGGGTCTGTATGTAAGCTTATGAGTTTATGTATACATCTATGGGTCTCTATATAAGCCGATTAGTCACCATGTAATACTATGGGTATCCATGTACGTTTATAAGTCTGTATAAATATATGGGTCTGTATGTAAGCCATTGAGCATCCATGTAATCCTGTGGGCATCTATGTGAGCCTATGAGTCTTTGTGTACATCTATGGGTCTCTATTTTAGCCTATTATTCTCCATTTAATCCTATGGGTCTCGATGCAATCTATACGTCTGTGTATAGATCTATGGGTCTCTATGTAAGTATACGAGACTTAATGCAATCCTATGGGTATTCATGGCAAGTCAATAAATCTATGAGTCTCAATGTAATCCTATGGGTCTCTATATAAGTTTATAAAGCTACGAGTCTCAATGTAATCATATGGGTATCTGTGTAAGTGTAGAAATCTATGGGGTCTCCATGCGAGCCTATGGCTCTCAATATAATCCTATGGGTCTCTCTTTAAGTCTATAAAATCTCTGAGTCTCAATGTAATACTATGGGTCTCTGTGTAAGTCTATAAATCTACGTGAAATCTATGGGTCTCCTTGCGAGCCTATGGCTCTCAATGTAATCCTATGGGTCTCTATATAAGTCTATAAAGCTACGAGTCTCAATGTAATCATATGGGTCTCTGTGTAAGCGTAGAAATCTATGGGTCTCCATGCGAGCCTATGGCTCTCAATGCATCCCTATGGGTCTCTATGCAAGCATACGGGTCTCCTATGTTAACCTACTGGTCTCGACGTAAATCGTGGGGTCTTCTACGCGAGCCGGTGGGCATCGCTTGCGGGGCCGGTACAGTGGCAGTTGGCACGCATCTTGACATTCCCGTTGTCCTTGTGTAGCGCGGCGTCGCACCGCCTCTCTCCGGGGATGCTCGGGCGAATCTTTTTTAACGGCGCCTCGTGGCATTTCCCCCCCAAAAAAAATGTTCAACAGATTCCCAGCGAATCGCTCAATTGGACGTAACGGCCGAGCGAGCGGCAGCAGGCACGGAGGCCCTCGGGGTACGTTTGGGGGCTCCCCGACGCAGCCAATAACTCCACTCGCGTCGCGCGCATTGCGCTCAAGAACTTGACACCCCCCCTTACCCCCCCCTACCTCCTTCCCACCTCCCACAACCGTTCCCCCACCGGTCCTCTTCCCTACATTGCCCCGTCAATCATCCAGGCGCGATTGGCAGTACCGTACGGTGCTGATGAACCTTGATAAGGACGGAACCGCGCATGCAAGTTGCCCTCTTTGGCCTTGTGATTATTCAGATGAAGTAAAAAAAAATCTTCTTGGTTCTTTTGGTAAAGTCACGTAGAAGTCTGAATGACGCTGTCTTTCCGACAGACCTGTTCTTCACCTGAGGACGGCTGCTTGCGTTGTGGCCGAAACGTCGTGAGAATTATTTTATGATGTTTTTTATTATTATTTAATTATTTCCCTTCTACATGACTTTACCGAAAAGAACCAAGAAGATGAATCCCTGCAGTCACAAAAGCTTTAAATAAATAAATAAATTTATATAAATAAATAGATGAGTGTGGGTGTGACCCTGTGGCTCCTGGGTCAGAGCACTGAGCCCGTGCTGCAGAGGGCCTCGGTTCGAGTCCAGGCAGCTGCCGGGATCCTCGATTGTAGCGGGTTCATGATGGATGCAATTACGCAGCGAAACGTGGTACTCAAAAATTGTTATTGTTGTGGATTCACTCTTAAACACACACCGGTTGGGCTAAAGTAGTGAACTGTTTGTCTTTTGTCAACGTGACGCTTTTTTTTACTGATTGGCCGTGTCGGGTGGTGGAGGGTTACGACATCTATTATAAATAACGCGATCTCACCCACCCAAAAAGTTTTTATGAATAATATTGAGTCGCGAAAAGCCTACGTGTTAAATTGATGGTCTCATCCCAATCACCAATGATACGGCACAGATACGCCGTGATATTACATTTGGGGTTATTTTTTTTATTTACCCATTTGGGGAAATTCCCAGCGTCACGAGAATTCAATTGTTGCGGTTTCATTGGCAAGCGAACCAGCAAGGTCACGCACGCGGTGATGCGACGTTAGCCACGGTAGTTCCTCCAGAATATCTCGCTGAACGCTCTTGCAGGGGCATGTGCGAGGTGTGGACCAAGTGTCGATAAATAAAGTAATCGATTGAAAGGAACAAGTATATATCGGAGGAGCTCAGAATGGATTCTACAACAACAACACAATGAAATCTGCTAATAATTGTTATGTTTGCATTGTCCGTAAGTCTCTGGATAATTAGACGCTCTCAAAACTGTGCGGTGATATTTTTAAAGGAAATAAAAAAAAAACACATCGGTTTATAATGGCGAGAATACGGTATCGCTATGGAAGCCACTGCCTTCAGAAGAATGAATATTTAACACGCCGCTATGCAATGGGGAGAGAGATTCTTCTGCAAGGTGATTGTAGAACGGCTGTCGGTACCAGCATCCTGCCCCCTGCCGGTAATGTTTGGCTGTGGAGAACGGCCTTCCGGAATATGGTTTTGAAAATCTAGATTACAACACATCTTCCAGAAGACAAATTCGCTTGTAAGTCTATGGCTCCTATACAAGACTATGTGAGTCTATGGCTCCTATGTAAAGATATGTGAGGTTTACGGCTCCTATGTAAGTCTATGTGAGTCTATGGCTCCTATGTAGGGCTATGTGAGTCTATGGCTCCTATGTAAGTCTATGCGAAGTCTCTAGCTCCTATGCAAGTCTATGTGAGTCTATGGCTCCTATGTAAGTCTATGTGAGTCTATGGCTCCTATGTAAGGCATGTGAGGCTATGGCTCCTCTGTAAGTCTATGCGAGTCTCTAGCTCCTATGTAAGTCTATGTGAGGCTATGGCTCCTATGTAAGTCTATGTGAGTCTATGGCTCCTATGTAAGTCCATGTAAGTCTATGGCTCCTATGTAGTCTATGTGAGTCTATGGCTCCTATGTAAGGCAATGTGAGTCTATGGCTCCTATGTAAAGATATGTGAGTTACGGCTCCTATGTAAGTCTATGTGAGTCTATGGCTCCTATGTAAGTCTACGTGAGTCTCTAGCTCCTATGTAAGTCTATGTGAGTCTATGGCTCCTATGTAAAATATATGTGAGTTTACGGCTCCTGTGTAAATCTATTTGAGTCTATGGCTCCTATGTAAGTCTATGTGAGTCTATGGCTCCTATGTAAAGATATGTGAGTTACGGCTCCTATGTAAGTCTATGTGAGTCTATGGCTTCCATACAGTCTATGTGAGTCTATGGCTCCTGTGTAAGACTATGTGAGTCTATGGCCTCTATACAAGTCTATGTGAGTCTATGGCTCCTGTTTAAGACTATGTGAGTCTATGGCTCCTGTGTAAGACTATGTGAGTCTATGGCCTCTATGTAAAGATATGTGAGTTTACGGCTCCTATGTAAGGCTATGCGAGTCTCTAGCTCCTATGTAAGGCTATGTGAGTTTATTGCTCCTATATAAGGCTACGTGAGTTCATGGCTCATTATGTAAGGATGTGTGAGCCTACGTGAGTCATTGGCTCTGATGTAAGTCTCTGGACACGGAAGGCAAGTAAGTGGCAAACCAATTTACGACACCGACGACCGAAGTTGACCCTAACCCTGACCCCCCGTGATGACGAGCCACGCGGAGGGTCACTCGAGCGAGCGAGCGGCGGGCGAGGGTCCAGGCCCCTTCAACGTCGAGGTCACCAAAGGTCACCAATCAGCGCCGCTGCAAACGACCTCCGCCCACCTTGGCGGCGAGCGGCGTGGGAGGGGGGTGTTTGTTTTAGTATGTCCACCCTGGTGTGAGTGTGTGTGTAGCCCACATGCACTCACACGCTCCCTCGTAAATCTATGTAACTAACAGTGTCTCTACGTGTCTGTGAGTGCGCGTGTGTGTGCGTGTGTGTGT